GGGTTGGGTTGCTATTGCAATTCTTTTGGCAGGATGGTAAGCCACACACACGTTTATTTGTAATGTATTAAGCCCTTGACATACTGCACTGTACTTCAGAGGCTCTGCAATTTTTTTTTTTTTGTTGTTGTAGCTTGCCTTTAGTCCTTGCCAATTTAATTCTTTTTCTTTTCCAAACAAAGCTACGATTGTTAAATCCTAATGTTAAAGCATTTTAATAGCTAGATCCAGTTACAAAGCTAATTTTTAATTTACCATTGTCTGGCCAAGTTTTTACTAAATAGAAAAACTCTGCAAATGGGCCAAAGAGACATGATCCAGTAGCCAATAGCATCAAAATACCCTCTGATTTAAAGGTCTCTGGACTTAATGCTTTTGCTACTTTCATCCATAACCACTTTCTGAGGGACTGGTTTTAGGAAGTTCTCATAAAACGATCACTGCACTGGCAAACAACTTTGTTTGATCCAGAGGCAGCACTACAGTTTGCCTTGGCTACTTTTTGCCAGAATTTTTTATTTATTTTCTTAAAGTAACCATAACATTAATACAAAAAACCAGCATTTTCCAGGAGAACACCCAACAGTGGGGAAGAAAGGAAGGGTATGCTCTTTCTTTTTATGGAACGTCATCTCCTCAGATTTGCATATCCTGCAGATCAACTTGGTAAACAAACATTTTAATTAATATCTCCTATATTTATTTGCTGTATAAACCATGGAACTAGCTCCCTGAAAATCTGTGCTGTTAAGTCTTGTTTCGGCACAGTCTAACTGCAGCCAACAAAAGACATTAATTTTCAGGATATTTTTGTGCTTGTGCAAGAGGCAGTGAAGAACAATAACTGATGGAAGCAAGGAAGGAGGAAAAGGAAATGTCTTCTGATTCGTCAGGATTTCGTAAGTTTGTCAGAACTCCTTCCAAGCTCCTCGTTCTAGACTCAGCAAGCCTGAACAAGGACTTCAGCTCTCAAGGAGTTAAGAATTGTTGGGAAGCTGCTGCTCTTGCTTAACCTCCCAATGTTTCTTTGAGGGGGAGGAGGAAACATTCCCAAGGCTGGAGTGGGAAGGGGTATGTGAGTCAGATTCTTTACCAAGGACACACTAAGGTTTGTACAGGTCTGAGACTCTTTCTACAAGCATACCAGGGCTCTTGGGGATGAAAGCAAAGAACCCTCTGATCCCTGCAGAGGGAAAGGAAAAGTGGGACAAAGGTGTGAGAACTTTTTTATGGCTCAGTGGTTTTAGGGGACTAATGGATTTGTGGCATAGCAGCTCCTTTGGATGGACTTTAAAAGAGCCATGAAACAGGAAAAGTCCATAACACTCTTTTCTTTCCCATTGTTTTCTCCATCCTGCTCCTCTTTACCATTTACTATCCAATGGTAAAATTGTCCTACAGCATACTTACTATTTATTCAATTACAGACATGGCAGCACTGCCATACAAGCCTACATTTGAACTCACTTTCATTGATGAAACCACTTCCCAATCAGCACCAGCTCCTCAGTATTACTTATGTTGGCATGGCAGTAAATGTAACTTCTTTTTTGAAAAGTAAGCAAAGAAAGGGTCTAGTAGTGTTGTATAATCTGAATCAATAATATGGAGGATTCTTGCACAGATTCTTGAAAAAAAAATGCAGTGCCAGTTTTGCTGCTGTGCTAGGAGTCTTTCATTAGCACATTGGTTTTCATTACAACAAACTAATGGATTGGTGTTACAAGGATGCCTATAGAGGATGGTGCCTTATATGCCTCTTGTTAGGAGTTTTGGGATAGTATTTCTGTTCTGGGAGAAGTCAGATTACAGCCTGTCTAGGCAGAGATATTTTCATCAGAAGCCATTTAACAGTTGGACAAGTAATTACACAATTACCCTACTGATCAGCAGATCCCTCAGTCTGAAGTCTTCTCTTCCTTGTGATCAGTGGCAATCATGAGATTCTTTTCTTCCAGGTTCACTTGTATTCCTGTTCAGATAAATCCAAAGATCTTGTTAGCCTGGTTTTACTCACAGCCTCTTATTGCACAGAGCATGCCATGATCCCTGCTAGCTACAAAAATACTGAACTTGCTCATCATCTTGACAGAAACATGATAAAGCATAAACTGCAGCTATATAATCACTGTGAGTAAAAAAACCCCAACTTATTATTCCACTTGTTATATTACAAATTAATGAGATCAACACTTCTACTGCTGCTCCATTTACATATCTGCAAATCGTCTGTAAATCAAGGTTTCACATGGAACTCTCACCATCCACTGCACACTGCCAGTAAGATCAATATCTGAGCCTGAAGTTCCATTATACAGCCTCTCCTGGTCATGATGGCTACTCAGCCTGCACTTTCAGACTTTGCTCTGAAAGCTCTTCATGTGAAAAAGGGAATTCTAACTACTGGGAAAAAAAGGGCTTATCTCAAATACACAGGTAGTGGGAAGTGGGAGATATACCTCTGTTCATTTATGAATTCTGGCTACTTTCAAAGATACTGTCTAGGACATGGCAAGACAAGCAGGAAGAACTGGCATGGAATGGTGTGGCTTGTCTTGTGTTTCCATGCCAGGAATTCTGTTGTCAGTGACTTTGCTTTCAAACAGCTTCCCTCTCGACTTAGCAAAGTAGAAGGGGGTACTTGGATATAACACATTTTCCTTCACATCATCATCTCTCCTGCAAATTAGGGAAGGGAAAGGCAGGAAAAGGTCAACACCTCTTTCAGATACTTAGCACTGCATTAGTAAAAAAAAAAAAATCACTCAAAGCAGATCAGTCAGGCTGTCATGCTTACAGTGGCTGGCTCAGTGTGAGGTGCCACTTTGCTGAAATCCCTGGGAATTGACAAGCAGGCTTGTCTCCTCCACTTGATATGTGTAAGCTTCTCATTTTTGCTCCTTCAGCCCCACAACTATGAACATCTCCCCTGAGACACACTGGAATTCCCATTCCAGTCTAACCTCAAGGCAATTACCAGAAACTAGGTGTTGTACAAACGAAAATGCAGCCACTACTTTAAGTGCCAGTCTCTTCTATCCAGAAACTTGGACTACATGAGCATAGAGAAGCATAAATTGTAGTGAACACTGGGGATTGTTTATGGCACTGGATGTTCTTGTGTATGATCCTGAAGTGATTGTGAACACAAGATGTGTTTGGCAGTTACAACAGAGCTGAAGCTAATATCAGAGTGCAAAAGACACTGTAAGAGATTAGAATGTCACCAAATGCCATCCACCCTAGCTGAATGGCTTGCAGTGTTTGGTAGTGCTGGTGGTGCTTAGATAGACAAAGCAACTCTTTCACAGTATTCCTACAACTCTGCTTTTTAACAAGATGTGAGATTCCTAACAGCCGTACAAGGGCACTAATGCTGCACTTCAGAAAAAATGAAGGCACAATGAAGTAGGGCCATGCTAATTTTTGAATACTGACCAACACAGTGTTTTTGATCAGCATAATAGTTGCTATTTGTGTAAAGACTCTAGGAATAGCGATAGTATTGCTGGAATTCATTACAGCTCTAACAGAACAGGTAATCTCTGGGATTGGGAAACACTGCTCGTAAACTTGCACGTACAGTCTGAACAGAAAGAGTCATGGTCTGCTGGATTTTTAGGTAACATCCAAAACAAATGTTGACAGCAACTTCTGCAGAACTGTAACAGAGGGCAAGACGCAAAAGAAAACAATGTAAAGCAGACAGCATGGTAATCACACGGGAACAGCCAGATTTCCTCGCCAACACCACACTGTGGTAAGGGCAGGTGAGACCTTTCAGCCATCTAAGCAAAGAGACTGTAGCAACACCAAAACCTGCAAGGCAGCCAAAAAGCCGAATTGCGGTCTTCAGCCTGCTCGAGTGACGGTGACTAGCATCGCCCCGCTGAGGAAGGCTGTGTGAGGGCCAGGCTGGGAACGGGCACGGCCGGTGACCGATGTTTGCCACAGGCGATGGCGGCTGGCGAGCCCTTCGGGAGGGCGGCGGGCGTGAGGCGCGGGCAGTGACCCCGCTCTCACCTGCGCTGCCCGGGGACGGCTTTATGAGCGCAGCTTTCCTCAGCTCTCCACACACACGTTTTGCTCCGTGACGAATAAGCCCAGGCAGCAGCGCGCCCAGCCTGGCACGCCGGGCTCCCGGCCAGGGCAGCTCTGCCCTAACATGGCACTCGCTGCCGCCCGGGGCGGCCCCAGGCTCGTCCCTCAGTGGCGCTGCCGGCGGCCGGCCCCGCTCGGCCCGGCCCGGCCCGTCCCGCCGGGGGCAGGGGCTC